GGAGATACATGGCTCTCCAAAGCAATGGTTTTACTTAAGACCATGGTGAGGAGCATACAGGAGGTGGGGGAAGGATATCTGGTGGAACTATACAGGTTGGAGGGGATCAGGCTGGAGGAGGGAGAGGAGGTTCTGCTTGCAGTACATCCATTGATTCAGCAGTTCAGTGAGGTTTTTTAGCCACCCCAAGGATTTCCACCACCAAAAGAGCAGGAGCATGCTATCACATTGAAGGAAGGGGCGTAACCCATCAGCATCAGGCCCTACCGCTATTCTCAATTTCAGAAGGATGAGATTGAAAGGTTGATCAGAGAGATGCTGGAAGCATGGATCATCATGCTTAGTGTTAGTTCTTTTTCGAGCCCAGTGTTACTAGTTAGAAAGAAAGATGGGAGTTGGAGGTTTTGTGTAGACTACAGGGCAGTGAATAAAGAAATGGTGCCAGATAAGTTTCAAATTCCAATGATAGATGAGAAAGCAATGGTTTTACTTAAGACCATGGTGAGGAGCATACAGGAGGTGGGGGAAGGATATCTGGTGGAACTATACAGGTTGGAGGGGATCAGGCTGGAGGAGGGAGAGGAGGTTCTGCTTGCAGTACATCCATTGATTCAGCAGTTCAGTGAGGTTTTTTAGCCACCCCAAGGATTGCCACCACCAATAGAGCAGGAGCATGCTATCACATTGAAGGAAGGGGCATAACCCATCAGCATCAGGCCCTACCGCTATTCTCAATTTCAGAATGATGAGATTGAAAGGTTGATCAGAGAGATGCTGGAAGCAGGGATCATCATGCTCAGTGTTAGTCCTTTTTCGAGCCCAGTGTTACTGGTTAGAAAGAAAGATGGGGGTTGGAGGTTTTGTGTAGACTACAGGGCAGTGAATAAAGAAACGGTGCCAGATAAGTTTCATATTCCAGTGATAGATGAGTTACTGGATGAGTTGAGTGGGACAATTATCTTCTCTAAGATATATTTGAAGTTAGGATATCGCCAGATCAGGATGAAAAGAGAGGATGTGTCAAATACTGCTTTCAAGACTCATGAAATACATTATGAGTTCCTAGTGATGCCTTTTGGTCTCACAACGCCCCTACCACTTTTAGTCCCTCATGAACAAGGTCTTCAGACCCTACCTAAGATAGTATGTGTTGGTATTTTTTGATGATATCCTGATTTATAGCAGGACAGAGGAGAATTACTAGGAGCATTTGAGGAGAGTGCTAGAGGTGTTAAAGGAGCACCAACCGAGGGCAAATATGAAGAAATGTTGCTCTGCTGAGGCCAGTGTGAAGTATTTGGGGCATATCATCTCTAAGGAGGAGGTGGTGGCAGATCAGACGAAAATTGAGGCTATGTTAAGATGGCCAGTGCCCAAAAATCTTATGGAGTTGAGGGAATTTCTGAGATTAACAGGATATTATAGGAGGTTTATGAAAGGGTACAACACCATAGCATGGCCACTGATAGAGCAGTTAAAGAAGGATGAATTCTTATGGGGAGAGGCGGCCACAACAGTTATTGAGAGCTTGAAGAAGGCCATGACCCCTGTACCAGTTTTGGCCCTACCAGACTTCACTCAGGTTTTTATAGTGGATATATATGCCCTCAGGATATGGATTGGGGGCAGTACTCATGCAGAGTCGTCAACCCATTGCTTATTTCAACCAGGTATGACAGCTAGGGCCAGGTTGAAATAAGTAAATAAGAGGGAGTTGATGACCATTGTGTTAACCATCCAGAAGTTGCGATCCTACTTGTTAGGTCGATACTTCATTGTTATGACATATCAAAGGATCCTGAAGTACTTGCTGGAGCAGAGGATGGTGACTGAAGAGCATCAAAGATGATTTTCTGAGTTGCTTGGGTATGATTTTGAAATACAATATATTCTAGGAATGGAGAGCAAGGCAGCCGATGCATTATCCAGGTGTGTAGGGGAGTTGTAGGCGATAGAAGTGTCGGTCCCGTTGATGTTAGATTGGGAGACTATCAAGGAGGAGAGTGCATGGTATGAGTTGGGAAGGATTAGGGCGGATTTGAGGAAGGAAGGGAATAACCACCTAGGGTATTCTCTAGATGGAGAGAGGCTGTTGTATCAAGAGAGATTTGTGTTGCCTAGGACATCAGTCCATATCCCACACCTACTCCAGGAATTCCATGGGAGCGCGGTTGAGGGCCATTCAGGGGCGCAAAAGACGTACAAGAGACTTGCCTCAGAGTTGTATTGGAAGTGGATGCATAAGGATGTGGAGGAGATGGTTGCTAGATGTGAGATCAATTAGAGGAACAAGTACATGGCCATATCTCCAGGAGGCTTGCTACAACATTTAGCTTTACCAAGTCGGATGTGGGAGGAGGTATCATGGACTTTATAGATGGATTACCCAGATCAGAGGAGTTTATAGTGATCTTGGTGGTAGTGGATAGATTGAGCAAGTATGCTCATTTCATTCCCCTGCGACATCCCTACACCACTGTGAAAGTGGCATCAACTTTTATTAGGGAAGTGGTCCACTTGCATGGGATACTAGAGTCTATAGTATCAGATTGAGATAAGGTGTTTCTCAGCCATTTTTGGACGGAGTTATTCAGGCTACAAGGGGCAATACTGAAAAGGAGCACTGCATGCCAACCACAGACAGATGGTTAGACAGAAGTGGTCTATAGAAGTTTGGAAACATACTTACGATGCTTTGTTTCAGAGACATCCAAGCAGTGGGCAAAGTGGTTGGCAGGGGCAGAATATTGGTACAACACTTCATATCATTCTACTTCTAAGATGACCCCATTCAAGGTGTTATATGGAAGGGATCCTCCTCACTTGGTGCATTTTGGGCATAAAGCATCTCGGTATCGTCAGTAGAGCAATATTTGGAGGAAAGGGATCGGGTGTTGGAAGAATTAAAGAGGCATTTATTGAGGGCCCAACAAATTATGAAGAAACATGTCGATGGACATAGGAAGGATATTTAATTTGAGATGGGGGAAAGGGTATTCTTAAAACTCCGACCTTATAGGTAGAGGACTGTCGCCAACAGAAGGAATGAGAAGCTTGCACCAAGGTATTTTGGGCCTTTTGAGGTACTGAAGAGAATTGGGCAGGTGGCATACAGGCTGAAATTGCCTTCAACAACAAACATACACCCTGTTTTCCATGTCTCAAAGCTAATGAGGGCGAATAGGGAGCATGCAACCAGTTTTGAGCTACCAGTGACGTTAACAGAGGACTTGGAGGTGATGTTGGAACCTTTTAAGTTACAAGGGGTGCGCCAGGGAGGAGGGGCAAAAAAGGTGTTGATCAAGTGGAAGGATCTTCCAGATTATGAGGCGACATGGGAGCCTTATGAGAGGGTGAAGCATTAGTTTTCCACTTTTCCTCCTTTCACCTTGAGGAAAAGGTGATTCGGTGGGAGGGTGGTATTGTTAGGCCGGTTCTCACTAAACCGGCCCAGTCGGCCCAAGGGGGGTCGGCTCTTGTTTACAAGAGGCGGACAAAACTGCCCCCTTTAGCTTTGCTGCCCAAGCTAGTGGACCCCATTAGGCAGCCAATTAGGGATGGAGAGGAGGGCAGCTTGGTTTGGGAGGGAAATTTGGAATAAAGAGTTTGAAATTAGGGAATTAATGAATTAAATAGTAAGAGTTGTTTAGGGTTAGGGTTATGCTTTGTTTTGTGGCTAATTTTGGAGTTTTATTCTTGGTGTCTTGTGCATCGGATTCGTCTAGGGATTGAGAGAGAATGATCCTCCTCTCGAATTGAGGATCAATTGTATCTTGTTTTGTTTCTTTTGTTAGTTTTGTTTTCACCAATAAACATTGCTATTTGCTGATTTCCCATTGAATTCGAGAAGCGATTTGCTGTTTTCATCTCTTTTGTTAGGGTTTACTTGAAATCTTCAAGTATTTCCTAACATGGATCTAAGTAATACTTTTCTAAAACCTTAAGGAATGTAGGAACAATATATTATGTTTTTTCATGTACAACTAATTTATGGTAGCGGTACACATTCTGAAACTCCAGGATCAAATTCGGGTCAAATCCCTTGCAATCAGAAAATATCCTCACTGTTCTACAAAATTACAACCCCTGCCACTCTATCAATTGTTTAGAACAAAATATTGTTTCTCAATTTACATATGTTAAAAATTCTTATGACATTATCTAGCGGACTGCTAATTATATTACATGTCTGAAAATTTGTTAATAGTTCTTATTCCTGAATTTTTTTTGCCATTGGCTATTTAATAATTCAGCTAATCATTTGTGGATGCTAAACTTATTTTTTTCTTATGAAGGTAAACCTGCACAGTCATGGCTGTCATATGTTGCAAGCTGGCCTTAAAGTGCTGGAGCATTTTAAGAGATTGAAGCATGTGTATCAGCTTCTTTAGACGTCAATTTGCTTGAGATCAAGAAGTCAGTCTTCATTGTTCATCGAGTTAGTGGAGGTATTTGCATATGACACGCTAAAATGAACATTGGATTTGATTGTGCAAAATGAAAAAAGATGCTTCACGATTAAAAAAAATAGAAGGCCTCAAGGTCTACTTTGAACATTGCATTTTCCCTTCGACCTCATAAAAGCAATTTTTTTATGCATTTTGGAAGTAAAAACAGCAAGTAGGCAATAAGGAAAATGCTAGAATCCAAATATTAGGGTTGAAATTTGATTCTCTTCAACAAGAAAGAAATATACAATTGATCTTCTATTCCAGAGATAGATAAGCTCTCCCACGAACTCTAGACACCGCTAGGAAGCTCTCGAAAATAAACTATAACAGACACAAATTATCTCATGCCCTAACCCCAGAAAATTTTGTTACGTCGGTTCACATAGAACCGGCCCAGCCGGTCAACAGACCGGCTCAAATCCATTATAGGAGGCGGAACAAAGCCGCCTCCTTTAGTTGTTCCGCCAAAATGGATGGGGCCCGCCCCATCTAATTACTTTTGAAAATTGAATAGAGGGGGAGGGGCTTGGGTTTAGGAGGGAAATTGTATTACGAAGGTTTGGGTATTAAAGTGCATGAGGGAATTAGGGATGTTTATGTTTTGATTGATTGAGAATTAGGGTTTCTTGGCGTTTGGGCTCTAGACTCTCTTGTCTAGGGATTTGGGAGAGACGATCCTCCTCTCGAATTGAGGATCACTTGTATCTTGCTTTCGTATTGTTTTTACTTTGCTTCCCTTATTGCAATCTATCATTTTGGGGTTGATTTAGCCCAGATTTTGCTAATTTCTCGCTGTTTTTCTCCAATTAGTGATAGGTTTGCTTGCGAACTTAAGTATTCCCTTAGGGTTGCTTACGAACTCAAGTATTTCCTATCAAATGTTTTCTCTTAAATTGCCCTAACACACAATAACATAAATGAGAATTCCTAAATAGCATAAATATAATTTAAGAAACATTCTTAAACAATTCAAAATTTCTAAACATGATAAACATAATTAGGAAACCTTTCTAAACATCTCTCCTTTATTGTTGCAAGAGTGTCTGGACTATCTCTGGAACCTAATCATCTTTTTGTAACTCCTCCAAGTCTTCTAGCCCTACCCCCTGTATCGCTTTGACCATGGTTTTGAATGAAACCATAGTTCTGCAGTAATTCAAAACCATGGTTATGCAGTCTGCACAGGCTAACATCTCCTCGTAGCACCATGCACCTTTTCCACCTGAATCTCCATCATCAAAGATTTTCAGTCCACTTTTGCTTCCCCTTTTTTCTGTAACTACTTCATCCCTATGATCACATCAGCGCATCCCAATTTCAAGGGAATAAAATCCTCTATAATCTGTAGGCCCTAGAGTATTAACACTTGCTTCATGCTCCTCTCTACCTTTCATGTTCTCATCATTACTTTAAAGCTCCCTTTGTCCACCAACTTCAATCCCAACCGGTCTACAATCCGGTTTGAGATGAATTTATGAGTAGTCCTGCTATCCACCAAGACTACCACTTGCTGCTCCTTGTCCCTTCACCTTTATAGTGTGATTTGGAGTAAATCTGATGTAGAACATACATGCATAAGAGCTTGATATTCTTAAAAAAAAAAAAGAAGCCAGATGCCAAAGCTGAAGAAATCAGTTCAGTTGAAGAACTGATTGCGAAGGCTTATTCAGCAATTGTCAAAGCAGTAAAATCAGGCACTTTGCATAAGAACACTGGAGCACACAGAAAGTCACGCCTTGCAAGGAGGAAGAAGGCCATTGAAATCCACCATGGTTGGTACATTCCTGCCGTTACTGCTTGAATGATGCAAGGATGACCAAAGAAATAGGAATTACAAAGCTCTGGTGATCATTTGGTTGTTTGAGAGGAAGTAGACAGCCACCACGAGCTTTCTGGATGCAGCTGGACAACAATCTGAAATTTAGAGACAGCGGGACAGCAATAGGAGATTGCCAAGATTGCTAGATAGCAACTTTGGTACTTAAAAAATTCTGGCCAGCCACCTACAATTGCTTATGAAAGCTTGGACAGCTTCTGTAGACCGATGGGATCTTCTGAACAGCAGTTTGTGATCTCCCAGGGTGCAGAACAACCCGTCACCTTGCTGGAAAAGTGGATAGCTAGCAGGAATTTGATTGGAAAGGAATGGGGGCCGTGAGGGAGGGATTGGAGGAGGCAAGTAGGGTTAGGGAGGATGAAGGGAAATTAATTTGAGGGTTAAAAGGAAAGAGTTTAATTTGGTTGGAGGGAAAAAGGGATGGGCGGCAGCTTTGATTGGGATTGGGTGTGAATTAAGGAGAGGAAGTTATAGGGATTTAATTAGATTGGAGAGAGAATAAAGGAGAGAGGGGGGCGGCCATCTTAGGAGGGAAAATAGTTGTCTAGGTTCATTGTGTGTGGGCCCAAGGATTTAAATAATGATTGGGATCAAATCTGAAATTATATTTCAGGTTTGATTTAATTTGGAGGCTTCCTAATTGGCTTCTAACAAAAAGAAAGTATTTGAAATTCAAAATTAATTGAATTCAAATAAAAGCTCTTTCCTAATTGTTATTGAGATATTTTAGGAAAGTAATTAAGAGCCAATGGAATTTGAAAATTCAAATTAAAGTTGAGTGGTCGCCGGCGGTTTGCTTGGAGTAGGGATTGATTGGATAAGTTTCCTTAAGTGGTCTCGCCTAAAATTAGGAGGAATTGATGGGCAAAATATTCCTCTTAATTTTAATTTAAAGTTAGATCCAAGAATTGAGTGGTTTCCTAATATAAATTATTTCGATTTAGGAAAGAATTCAAATTCTGAAATAGAAATTAGATTTTGAATTCGATTTCCCTCCTAATCGTCATGCTCTACTTTGGAAATAAACAAATAATTGATTTTGATCCAAGGGGAGGGGAAGGCCGGTGGCTAACTAGGGTTATGGCTTTGGATGTGGCGGTTTGAAGATGGAGAGCCGAATGGGAAGGAGGGTGGATGGGGTTTAACCGTGAGTTAGGGAGGTGGGGTTTGGGGGACCTTGTGGTCGGTGGTGGGGCGTTTGTGAGGGAGGGCCGGTGGCTTGAGGCTTGGCCGTAATTGGTGGTGGAGCTAGGGCCGGTTTGGTGGAAGTAGAGAGAGAATGAAGATGATGACTAGGAGCAACAAGAATGAACAAAAACAAAAGATAAAAGATAAAACCGCGAGCCTTGAACTCTTCCGAAGACTAACGGGTGATACGTTGCCCTTCTCTAAGGGACTTCACGCCACGAGCCCGGACCTATCCTGCAGCTGGTGGAAACTTTGAATTCCTCCCATAGGAATTTCACCCAAGGTTCTTCCCAAAGAACATAAGTGCAAACAAAATTTTATTAATAATCCATCATTTTCTAATACAAGAGCATTGACCTCTATATATAGGCCTTAAAAGAAACTAAAAGATAATTTTGCCCCTTGGGCTTACATAAAAAATCCCTTAAGTAAGGTAAAAAAAGAAAAAATGCATAATTAAATAAAAATTACAATTAATAAAATAAGATAAAATGAAGGGATCTCGACCGTCGATCTTGGTCTCTTCCTTTGATTAATGCCCACCGTCGGATGTCCGCATCAAAATCTCACCACTGAATTAAGGGACACTTTTGCCACATTAAGGTGTAGGTGCTCCCCTCCCTCTTTTATTTTTTCCACCAGATCCTCATTGTCAACCCGCTCCTCATGACAAACCATAAGGATATGGAGTGTGCGGTCCTTGCATCGATGGCCTGGTGCATAATTTTCATCACAGTGGAAGCACAAATCCTTCACTCTCTTGTCCTGCACCTCTGCCTCTGTGAGGCGCTTGAAGTTCGGCCCAGGACGAACTCTCCCACTCTTCTCCCTTGGTGCCTCCTGCTGAAATGACACCGTCTGAGTTTTCGGTGCCAGTTGAGATACTAATGTAAGAGCCTCTCACTTCTCTGCTCTTACCGATCCTCTCCATATGTCTCCGATCATCTGCTATCTAGGCTAGCTCCATCGTCTCCTTCACCCCCTTGGTCTCATTAATCAGAGGCCCACTCGTATGCCGGGTTTGTGGTTTTTCATGAAAATTTTCTTCAACACCGTCTCTGAGACTTCCCTCAACTGCCCCGATAGCAACTCAAATCTCTCCCTGTACTTTATGATGGTCCCTTACTGAGGCACGACAAGGAATTGTTCGTGTAGGTTTCCTTTCTGCATGGCTTGGAAATGTTCCAACAAGCAATCTTTAAACCCCTCCCATGAATGGATTGAATATCTAGCCTGCCTCCATTGGAACTAGGTGAGGGCTTTCCCTTCCAGATATAGCCCTGCGGCTATAAGCTTCTCCTCCTCTCTCAAACCATTCACTACGAAATACCTCTCCAACCGATATACTCACCCATGGGCATCCATTCTTCTGAATACCTGCATCTTCAACTTCCTTACCCTAGCAGTGCCACCGCCCCAATAGCTTCTTCCTCCTCAAGTGTAGCGGATGTCGTGATCCATCCATTTTTCTCACATGTATCGAGGGTGGGAATCCCACTTTTCCTCCATCTACCTCACATGACCCAATCTCCATGGCTTGGCTTGTCCCCCTCCTCCAGTCGTCCACTTCACATGCTCAAAAGACCTCTCATAGTGGTTGGCCACCTCACTATCTCCACCACAACACTCCCTTCCTATTGTCCCCACATTCGAAAAACCTATTCCGCCCCTTATCGGAGCCTATGAGATGTTTTTTGACCACCTCTTTCTCTGATGGCCCACTCCCCTTGCCCGAAAAGCCTCCCATAGTGGTCGACCACCCTACCACATCCACCAAAAAATTCTCTCCTTGCTGTCCACTCATCCGAAAACCCTGATACGCCCCTTATCAGAGTCCCAAGAGATGGCTCTTGATGAAAGAAACTCTCCTTGTTGAACTCCTCCCATCCGATCTCCTTTCCCTTCAATTCGGTCAAGGGAATCCTGGTCAAACCTTGGTTAGGATTAGCCATCGGAATCGCCAGTGGAATTTTTGATTGCATCTCCAAGAGCTTCATCATCATCACCTCCAACCCTCCAAATCAATTTTCCATGGATTAAAACCTTACCTCCATGGTTGAAAATCTTCCTTCGATGGTTGGAAACTTCTCCTCCACCCTGAATTTGATTTGCTCCATTTCGACTTCAAATGCATCCATCTTCTTTGATGCCATCTATCCAAAAACTCATTATGATACCAATTTGATGTGTTTTGGAAGTAAAAACAACAAGTATGCAATAAATAAAATGCAGGAATCCAAAGATTAGGGCTGAAATTTGATTATTTCTTCAACAACAAAGAAATATACAATTGATCTACTATTCAAGAGGTAGATCAGCTCTCCCACGAACCCTAGATGCCGCTAGAAAGCTCTCCAAAATTAAACTACAGTAAACACAAATTATCTCATGCCCTAACACTAGATAAAACTTTCTCTTAAATAGCCATAGCACATAATAACACCAATAGAACCTTCCTAAATAACATAAACATAATTTAAGAAACCTTCTGAAATAATTAAAACCTTCCTAAACACAATAAACATAATTAGAAAATCTTCCTAAATAGTTCATCTTGATTTCTTCTCCTTCCATAATTCATGATATCTCCCCTGGGCCCACAAGGCTAGCTGAACGCTCCCCTTGGCTCCCTTCCTGATTTCGCCCAGCCCTCTTCCTGCTGGAACAATCTTCTATAGAATTATTTTTAAGAAAGTTTTTGGTGATGTTAGAAACAAATTTTGTCGGTGAAAGCATGCTCTGATTTAACTAGCTTTGACACAAAATTTGTTGGATTTTTTATCAACGTTGAGGCTGTGAACAGAGAAAACTAGCTTTAGTTAAATTATAGTGATTTTTTGAACTTTTCTTCCCATTTTCAAGCATATTAACTGATTCTTCTGATTGTAATAACATTATGTTTTCCATGTTTCATATTTTCGTTGTTCAATTAAATTAACCATTTCCTAATTTGATTGATAAAGCATTAGATTTGAGAAAAATCGGCTCTTATTTTGTTTAATTTATGCCTGCCTCTTGGAATATTTAACTTATTTTTACTTGCTGGCAAATATCTTTGTATTTACGTTCATTTAAAAAAGTTCTTTAAGTTAATGAACCAGTTTGTCACAGGTTTGAAATCAAGGCTTTCTAAAAGCCCATAAACAATTCCACCATCCATTTTGCTTGAAACGGTTTTCCTGCTGGATATTGTCCTCAAGATTTTGCTGAGAATCACTAACTGAAGTTTGAGGTACAAGATCAAACCCTTATACGGCCTTCATATTGTTTTCTAGATCTTAGCATGTTGTTTCCATATGATGAATCATAAATGTGTTTATCATTGTGTTAGGGTCATAAAAACCCCTATCTTATATGGTAAATTTTTTTTATGCGGATTATGAAGACCTCAGCATCTTGAAAAGAAAAACTAACTACAACTCAATTTGATTGAATTAGTACCCAAGTAAGTCTAAATTTACCTGATTGACCTCCAAACAAACTACAAGAGGTTAGAAAAATAACCCAAACAGCCATGAATGACATAAATTGGACTGGTCTGTGATGGGGACATCGACAGGATATTTCGGCGCGTTTATCAGAGACGAGACAGGAGATCGATGGCCATGATGGAGAGCCTTTACTATTGATGCTTATTTGTATTAGCATTTTATGTATTATGCATTTCTTTTTTCAGTTTTTCCATTTTTGCCCTTATGGGTAGTTGATTGCTTTTGTAGCCCAAGGGGCATGTTAGTCTTTTTTATTAGTTGTCATGTAGAGCCTATATATATGGCTTTTGTATCTTGTATGAGGATTGATTATTGATGAATGAAAATATTTTATTTTGTTGTTCTCTTTGTGAGTTCCCAATCTCCTCTTGATCTCTTGGTGAGTTCTTGAGGAGAGAGCGTCTTAGATCTCTTCGTGAGTTCTAGTGGAGAAAGACTTGTGGTTTGCATGCTTGAATTTCTTTCATTCTCTTCCCAAGACCGTGACCTTCCCTCCCTTGAATTTCCCCTCACAATCCTCTCCCCAAACCTCCATCCCGTCGCCCCTCCCATCTGGCCGCCAGCTGCCCGCCGGCCAAGAGGCCTGGCCGCCAAACCATTGCAGCCTTTCAGGCTTGCCACCGCCCCCCCCGGATCAAGAATTCAAATTTCAATTTTTCCTTGAGTCATTTACTACTTTTCTAAAATAATTCCTTAATTTGAGGCCTCCATATTAAGTAGATTTCAATTTGAATTTGAAATTCAAATTAATCCTAATTAATAGCCCTCTTATTAGGAAACTTCCCTGTTATAAAAATTTGAAATATATTTCAGATTTTATTCAAATCCTTGTTTAGCCATGTGGGCCCCCTCTACTTAATTCTAATTCTTCTCTCCCTCTCTATGCTTGGCCGGCCCCCTTCTTTGGCTTTTTCTCTCCCAATTAATTCTCAATCTCCACAAAATCATCCCAAAATTTCTCTCCTATTACCGCCCCACCCCTCCCCTTTTGGAATTAATTTGAAATTCTCAAATTTATTCCCTCTTATTTACCTCAACTTGAAATAATTTCAGTGCGTCACTCTCTTCTTCTTCTCTTTGTGTTGTGGAACTCCACCAAGAGAAGACTATTCTACCATCAAACTCATCCGCCAAAGTATTTCATCGTCATGTATGGTGGATCCTGAGGTTGATCACGGGCTCGAATACGACATCTACGGATACATCCATGTCATTCGATCTCCTTTCTTCGACGTTGGATTTGGCTTTGACGACACCATCGAAGATTACTTGAATCGAATCCTCCCCACCCTTGTGGACGCCGTCGATTTTCAATTTTCAGACTACGAGTGGATCATCAACGGTCATCCTCCCGTGCCACCTCCACCTCCGAGTACCTTCCCAATAACTACGTTCCTCGGCTCCTCCCTCCTAGTGGCGACTTCATTTCTAGCGTGGATGATCTTCCTCTGCTCAACCTAGAATCGTAGAAAAGAGAGTAGGTCCTCAAGGTGAACAACTCATTATTAATTTTTAGATTCATGTTGTAAGCTTTTTAACATTACTTCCCCCCTTTGTATTTGATTAAATTGTCTGGTTAATTTCCATGCAACTCTTTGCCTAAGCAAGTGTAATACGGAGAACTATTGTAACCAACTTTGAATGGATGCATGATTTTATAACGGTTAATCTATTAGTAAATTATCTTTTATAATCTTGTGTAACTCCAAACTTGCATCACATCAGTCCTCCTCATATAGGCTTGTCCTTCTCCTGGTATGGGTTTGTGCCCCCACAAGGATTGCTGTTTGGGGACCGACGGATCTAATATCTCGCTAAGGACCATATCGCCAGCCTTGATTGTCATTGGTGTGCCCTCATTTGGCCACAATAAATCCTAAAAGTGCACATAGAATATCCTAAAGTCGCACATCTTCTATGAACAACTGTGATCTCTATGCATCACATTCATCATAAGCCATTTATCTCAAAATATTCCTTAAGCTGAGGGCTAATTCTCTGGCATTTGCTGCTGTAGATTTTTTTTTTCCTTGGGTTTGATGAGAAGCAACAAACAAATTATTTTTCATGTCAACATACTAAATGAAACTCTTAACAATCATCGCCAATTAGATTATTCCCTCATTGCGTTAATAATTATTTTTTTTTTAAATTAGAGATAATGCTGGTTCCACAGCCAGCTTAAAACTTGTCGAATAATCATGACGTGACACAGGTGGTGCTGGTTGCTTGACATCAATGCTGCCCGCTTAACCTAAATTTGGGCTTGACCAGGTCTCCATCCTCTTATCAACAATATCGGATCAATCTCTTTTGTTTATTAGTTTATGCTAATCACCTACCGCACCTATTGACAAATAGAAGAAATCCTCTTTTCAACCTCTTGATGATGGATGAATCACTCTGATTGGTTAGGAGCATGTACTAGCTAATTTGTGAGGCCTCTTCAAGAAGCTAATCAATTTATTTGAGGGTAATCCTCTATACATTCCCATGAGGATGTGCATGTTGACATTTACAGTGTTGTTATAATCGGCTAAAATCATCCCGCATTTATCTATGGATGCTTCAAAGTGTGGTTCTCTATCCACACACGGCCCGTTGAAAGGGTCATTCACCACTTGTCAAAGTTCAAACAATGATTGCCCCCTTTAACAGATAGTCATTAACCACCTTTTTAATAATCAATTACCATGTTTGTTATTTTATGCTTTGCATGAGAGGCCCTTTGATCTACTACTTCTCATTCATAGTTGACATGAAGGAAATACCTTGATAATGCCACATATATGAATGTTTGTAAAAGAATTCTTGAAAAATTATTTTAGAAGAAAATCATGTGATTTCATTTGCATCATCTTATGGAGGAATTTTACTTTTCATAGAAAGAAATATCGCTTAAAACAAACTTATTTGATGATAGAAACTTTATTTCGACATATAGGCGACCCAATATAAGTTTAAAGACAACTCCAATTGATTTTTGGAATGTCTTTAAAGGCAACTCCAGTTGATGAAAAAAAAGGTGAGCTTAAAATGTGCTTTAAGTAATTCAAATCTATTATGAAAGCTCCAACACAAGCATTCTGCAAGGCCTTTATTCATAGCAATTTTTAGGGCCGGTAATATATGACTGTACTTCAATTGAGAAACACTATATATTGCACACTCGTTTTATGTGAAGAATATTCTGAATCTTCCTGTGAAGAATGATTGGGCATAGAAATCTCTTCACAAGTGGTAGCTCGTTAAGGTGAAATTGATGATATGGAGAGTGTGCATGTGCATTGGTCGTTGCCTACACAAAGCAAACATGTTCTTTAAACAGCTTGATTTGATCAATATCTCCAAGATGCTTCTAAGACCTTGCACATGGACTAGGAGAAATCCACAAAGCTCTTTCCTATTTGTGCAATGTCAATAGCATGGCATTGACCAATGAAATGTCATTTTTAGGAGTATGATGACGGCATAGTTTCAACTTACCCCATCTCTATGCTTACAAAAAAATTAAGAATGATAGCATCTACTTAAACTAACTCTGTCATTGGCCTCCAAATGACTTTGATAGTGTAGCTTTGTTGCCAGTACCTTCTCATTTGTCTTTGTCGCCCGCTTCTTTAGCCGACTTTTCTTGTCTAGACTGTCACGACTCGGATCGGATGCTCAATTTAACGAGACGGGAACTAAAAGTCCGACGGTTGAAATAATCTATTCAATTCATAAAAAAAAAAAAACACAATTTTCTCTATCTTACTGAAGAGCCACTAATACACAAATCATGAATTACCTGTTGTTAGTTGCATGCCGTCTTCTATAGACAAAATCTTATCTTTAAGTCATTTCTTCTTCTTTAGGGATTTACCTGAAACATTAATTTAGGGGGTTTGAGTTTACAGTGTAAGCTCAGTGGGTAATTATCATTATTAATGAAATAGTTAAATCTATTCAGTTAACCAAAGGTATACATTTCTTTTCTTTATTCATTTCATTTCATTTATATATCTCATAACATTTTCATTTGCATATATAAAATACTTTGCTTTAATAATTATTTCTTTTCTCATTTAATTAATATAGGAGCACCGTCTAAATGTACCTAAGGTACAACCTTTTCCTTTTCTTTTTTAAGGTACAACCACAAAATTTATTCTTGTTGAATTCCTTGAAAAACCCAACTTGTACCACTTGATTTCTTTCTTTCCAAAATTTATAACATTAAATAACAACATTTTTCATAAAACAAATTTAATAATAAATCTAAGAAAATTTATCTAAAAGGACTTTTTACTAACAACGAGGAAATATTTCGAATCTCAATTTCTTCCTCTTTCCTTTTTCAAATTCTCTTCTTCTTGCTTCCAAACTGCTTTCTCCCCTTTTAGAAATTATCCTTTGCTTTAAATGGAGTAAAAATGATACAATTTATAGATAAAATTGAAAAGAAAAACTTAACAAACCTTATTCCTTCCTTCCCTCGGTTATTCCTCACTTTCGTTGAAATTTCTTTCAAATCTATCACTTCTTAACAATAGGAAAGGAGATGAGCCGCTAAATCATATCCCCAAATGCGTTGGATAGCTAAAAACAACAAATCAAAACTCCAAAAATTCTCCTCGTAGACCTTCGGTCATTCGCCCTCCCCGCCCTCTGTTTCGCGTTCGCGTAAATCGTCCTGACTCCTATTGGAGTCGCGACTATTAAAAGGGGTTGGTCGGTTCGGTTGAACTGGCCACCCATTCGGTTCATTATAATCTCTCATACTTATAAAATTTCGTCCTCGAAATTAAATTAAGTAAGAAAACATACCTTAGTTGAATAAATGGGGATATTTACTTTTCATTTCTGCTTCTTTCTCCCAGGTGGCATATCTTTTTGTTCCATGTTTCTATAAAATCTTCACGAAAGGTATTGTCTTTTGCCTCAACTGTTTTACATCATAATCCAGTATTCGTTAAGGTTCCTCAACATATTTTAAATCAGGCAGTAAGTCAATTGATTTTGACAGGATTCTCTTTGACTCATCTGACACATACTTCCGAAGTACTGATATATGAAACACATTATGAATTCCTTGCATATACACTGGTAGATCCAATCTATAAGCCATATTTCCAATCCTCTGTATGATTTCAAAAGGGCCTATAAACCTTGGGCTCAATTTTTCTGTCTTTCCAAACCTTTGCACATGCACCTTTCATTGAGCTAGCTTTTAAGAAAACAAATTCTCTTACTTCAAACTCAACTAGTCAGTGTTTTGCATCATAATACTTTCGTTGCCTGTCTTGAACTGCTTTTAGTCTGTCTCTGATCAATCTGATTTGCTAGTTGCCTCATCCACCAG